CATGCCACACCCACCAAGCCACACCCACAGAACCGGCAGTAAAAAAATTTGAATCCCACCACTGTTGAATACACTAAGTGTTGTTAGCGATATTTTTTGGGTTCATGATTATTGTATTAGCAAGCCACTTGGGACTACAATGTCTGGATTTGTTTGCAAAACGTGCAAATATGAGGAACTTGATTGCTAATGCTGGATGTTGTCTGGAGAAATCATTAGCTACCCCTGGTTTTGGCACATTGAAAGGTAAAATCAATCTCAGCCCTTGGTGAATCCACCGACACACACAATAGTGCAGTAGTAGAGGTTTTGCCATTGTGTTCTTTTGGGATGATAACAATTTCTCAAAGTTCTCTTATATTGCTCATTAAATGTTAAAACTCGCTGATGCAGTCTCAGAAATAGCTTCTAAAGCATGATTGTCAAATTCACTGCGTCATGTTGCCATCACATGACCTTTCATGATGTTTTTTCCCTTCACGGAGCTGGGGTGGGCGTGGCCTGTGCATGGCGCATCCGGCCCATGGGCCATCAGTTTGACACCGCTGTTCTAAAGGGTAAAGATAAAAGAGTCCTGTGGATTTTACTCTGCTAGTCATTGCTGACTATAGGGTAGGTGGTATTCATCTCCATCTCAAAGCCATTGAGCCAGCACAGTCTGAAAACATTTCCGCGGTCATGTGGCCAGCATGATGTCACGGAGTACTATGACTTTCCCACCAAAGTGGTACCTAGTTATCTACTTGCATTTGCATGCTTTTGAACTGCTGGTTTGGAAGGAGCTGAGGAAGGATGGAGCTCACTCTGTTGTGTGGCCCTTGGGTCTTTTAAAGGGGATCTGGGACTATAGAAGGAACAGATCAGACACCCAGCCCTTGCTTATCAATGGAGACTGAGTGGAGCAAGTGGCCAGTTTTAAATTTCTGGGTGTTACCATAAAAGAGGACCTGACCTGGGATGCTCACATTGCAGCCTGGTCAAAAGGGCCCAGCAGAGATTATACTACCTGAGGCTTCTCAGAAAACAACAACTGAATGAAAAACTGCTGGTGACCTTCTACCACTGTACCATAGAGAGCATCTTAACTTACTGCACCACTGTATGGTTTGCCAATTGCACAGTGGCAGATAGGAAAGCACTCGAGAGGGTTAATGTCATTGCCCAGAGGATCATTGGTTGCCCTCTCCCCTCTTTGGAAGAGTTTTATAGCTCCCGCTGCCTTAAGAAAGTTCAAACATTCTCAAAGATCCGTCTCATCCTGGGAATCCTTTTTTTGAACTATTACCATCTAGCAGACAGTACAGGATAATAATAAAAACAAGGACAAATAGGCTGAAAAACAGCTGCTATCCCAGGGCACGAGCTCTTTTGAATTCTACTGTATAGTGCAATGTTGATGCAGTGTAAGGGTTTTTGGTTCAATGTGTGGAGAGTGAAGGATGTGTACTTGTGTTTATTGCCATGGTCATGGTCATGATGTGCACTGAAGATGGTGTTTGATTTCGTTGTACAAGGTGCAATGACAATAAAGTAAACAAACTGTTATGAAATAATGGATCTTCTTCAGGGAGACTGTATTTTAACTAAAGACATCGCTTAAAATATAACTGATAGCTTTATTTGCATTTTACCTGAAATATAAAATTGAGGGAGAAAAAATAAAAAAAGATGTCCAGTGAAGATCCTCATGTATTTAAAACAAATTTCATTCTGTGCCTTCAGAATGACTTGCTTCCATATAAGCAAAATATATGTATTTTTTAACATCTAGTGGTGAGATTGATTTAGATTTAAGTTGGCTTTGATATATATGTGTTTCAACTGGAATATAGGGTTGTTGTTTTTAAGGAAAATTCAGCATTCATTTCCCTTTGGGGAATAGTTATTAGAATTGACAACTTCAGTAAACTATTTGGCAATGCACTCTGTTTTTTTTTCCCTGCAAAATTAATTAGAATTCTACTGGTGTTGATTTGAAATGGTCGGAATTCTTCCCCAGTTTGTAATTTGAATGAATGAATGAATGAATGAATGAATGAATGAATGAATGAATTATTGGCCAAGTATGAACTTGTCTTGGTGAATATGCTCTCAATGTAAATAAAAAGAAAAGATACATTCATGAAGAATCATAAGGTACAACATTTAATGATAGTCATAGGGTACAAATAAGCAATCAAATCATACTAAGAATGATTGGATGGCTAGTTTCTTGTCTTGCACAGGCATCTTATTATTACTCCTAATTTTTGACAAAGGGTGCTTCCAAATAGGCATTTTAAGATGCTGGATTAGGTGCAGGAGACCCATCCTCAGCTGGGAAATTGCACTGCATGACTTTGGACAATCATATCTTTCAACACAACATGCTTCACAAGCCATTTGTTATAGGGGAAAACAAGAGAACTGAATGCAATGTACCTGACCTTCTGAATAAAAGGCAGGATATAAACCAACCCATTTTACAAGTCTCTTTCTCCATTTGAACCTTTCCTGTCTCTCTCTATCGTATCTGACATTTTTTTCACTCCAAGGAAATCCCTTCCCATTAAGGAAGAGGTCCTTGGATGCACTTGGAACACCAAGAGGATCTGTCTTCAAATCCAGCTTAAAATTTATCTTGTTTTTTTGAAGTACTCAACTGTATGCTTCTCCAGTCCTTGAGTGGAAAGAAACGTGTACTGACATAAAATGACTGACTTCTACCTGATCCAGTGAGGCTCAGGTATTCTTACTGTCAACTCTGAAGCTGGCCTTACCGAGGCCATCTTGGAGGCTTCAGTGGTGCTGAGGGAGAGGGAGAAGGAAATAGAGATAGCTGAGGTCTTATAGCCAAAACAAAATATTTTCCCCTGAGATCCAAGGACATTCCCACAGATGGCTGAAAAGAGAAGTGGAGCTTCTAAGCAGCGGGACAGCACCTTGATTGGATCATGTGACTGATTATTTGGGAAAGGGGAAAAAACTTACTTTTAATTAGATGAAAACTGTGGGAACCTTTAGAGTCCATTTTCATCAGTCTGCAGCAATATGGTATAACCAATAAACTTGCTGTTTGAGAACCTGCTTAACTCGGAGTTCTGCTTGCTATGGTTGAATTCAGTGGTGGGATTCAAAAAATTTTGCTACCGCTTCTTGGTGGGCGTGGTGTGGCGTGGCTTGGTGGGCATGGCAGGGGAAGGTTACTGCAAAATCCCATTCTCTCCCACCCCACTAACCTGCTTTCCAGCTCCGTTCTCCTGTGCAGGGCAACAAAAGAAAACTGAGCCAATCAGCTGGGACTCAGGAGGCAGAGAATAGATGGGAGCAGGCCCAGTCAGAGGTGGTATTTGCCAGTTCTCCGAACTACTCAAAATTTCCACTACTGGTTCTTCAGAACTGGTCAGAACCTGCTGAATACCACCTCTGGGTGCATTACTTGGAACCCTGACACATACACCTTTAATGTGGGACAACTTAAGGGTAGCAGTTCATTTTGCTGAATGGAACATGCTTGTGAGAAGACTTTCATAGAAGCATCTGTCATCAGAGAAAGTTAATGGTAGAAAGAGATCAAATATTTTCGTTCTAAGGCTACTTCTAGGAACTGTGGAAAGGCAATGGCTCAGATGCACTAATGCAGATGTATTAGCCATCCCTAGCCTATTTATGGGTAGTCCTCACTTAACAAAGGCATTTTGGATCAGAATTTCCATTGCTAAGCAATCCAGACATAAAACACAATGTCAGGTGAACATAGTGATGGCATTCCCAGCTGTCCCCACTTGTCATCATTAATCACTGCATGTTACCTTAAGTCACCTGACTTCCTCCTGGCTTCCCCACTGACTTGCTTATGGGAAGCCAGCAGGGAAGAACTGTGATCATGTCACATGGGAACACTATGCTAGTCAGAAATGTGAACCAGTTACTGAATGCCTGGATCGTGATAACATGAACACTGTGAAAACTGGAATGTCAAGGACTGGTCGTAAGTACCACTTATTTAATGCTCTGATGGTACAATGGTTAGAATTCAGTATTGCAGTAGAATGCAGTATTGCAGGCAAACTCTGTCCACAGTCTGGAGTTCGATCCTGACAGGCTCATGGTTGACAGGCTCAAGCCTTCCATCCTTGCAAGGCTGGTAAAATGAGTACCCAGACTGTTATTGTAAACCACCCAGGGAGTGCAATAAAGTCTATATGAGTGGTATATAAGTCTAAGTGCTATTGTAGGATCAAATGGTCCCTGGAAAAATGTGGTTGTTAAATGGGAATTATCTATAATCAATGGAATTATAGGAGTTGAAGTCACAACACATGTCTAAGTCGGTCCACATCCAGTGTAGAAAAAGGTGTTTATGAAAAGAACACTCATGCATTGCTCCTAGGACACAATAAGAAAAGTTATTTGAGGCTGCGGGAGGAGTTTGGATTTCAGTGTGCAGCTTTCTTTGCCTTCATGACTCTGATGGGCCATAGGAGTTTCTTTTCCCATTGGTTGTAATATACCAAGGGGTCTCCAAACTCGGCAACTGGAAGACCTGTGGACTTCAATTCCCACAATTCCCCAGCCAGGCTGGCTGGCTGAGGAACACTGGGAATCGAAGTCTGTATGTCTTAAAGGTGCCAAGTTTGGGGATCCCTGCAATAGACTAAGACAGCCATCCCTCTGGAATGTCTAAGTGACCATACGGTTTGACAAAACCCTCATGATTCACTTTGTACTACTTCACTGACCTGATCTCACCTAATGGCTCACTGCTTTAGGCTTCCTCTTTCTAAGACCAGCTAGCAGCTGGGAATCTCATCTTCCTATGGCAAGGATTCCCTCCTAGTTCATTCCTAACATCCTGAATCATTTCCTCTCACCTTAAGATCTCCATGAGCATCAGCCTGACTCATGCAAGACCCAAGCTAGGAACAATATTTGTATCACATGACTCCTGGCTTCGGGATGCACTTCGTTTGGCCCCGTTTTTCTTGGAAAAATGCAAGGAATGCTCTTCAGAGGCTGAGGAATGGTTGCTGCTTCTGCTGAACTTGGTTTGGTTTGTTTCCTTATCAGCAAACAGGGAAGATGGGACCATACGATTCCATGTGGCCAAGATTTAATTGGTTTAAAAACCGAGTCACAGTAATTTGTATATAGATGAAATCATGATACCTGAATTGTAGTAATTTGCGTAGGGTTTTTTTCCCCCCTCCTTTTTTTCCTTTTTATTAAGATTTTTCAATTTAGTCTTGATGCATTTTTTTGTTAATTTCCATTCGTAGTTGTAAGTAAAGCATTAAACATCAGAAAGTCTATCAGTTAGCCTATTGATATGGGGATGTCCATACCACGGTATGTGGTGAAGGAGTGAAAAAAAAGCAAGATGGTGACCACAATCATGGGATTTGATCCCTGCTGCCTTTTTAAATGTGGGGCATGATTGTGTCCACTGTCTTCACATTTTCCTCCCTTTTTCTGGGACATCTCTGTGTCTATACCACTAACTTTGAGTTTAGTTCACTTAGGATTCAAATCAGAGGTGGTATTCAGCAGGTTCTGACCAGTTCTGAAGAACTGGTAGTGGACATTTTGAATAGTTCAGAGAACCGGCAAATACCATCTCTGACTGGAGATTTTACAGTATTGTTCTCCTGACACCCCCACCAAGCCAAGCCCACAGAACCAGTAGTAATTTTTTTTTGAATCCCACTACTGATTCAAATGATTGGGGATAGGTTTATATCATGCTCTTTATCCAGGCAGCCAAAATTAAAAATTGTAGTAAAACCAAACAAAAATAACATACAGAAGATAATGTTCTTGATGATTAACAGCGCAGGGTATATAACCGTGTATCTTAGCTCACATAAGCCATGTCAGCCCAAACCAGGGGTATCAAACTGGCAGTCCACGGGCCGGATGCATCATTTGCAGGCCACGCCCACTCCAGCTCCGCGAAGGGGAAAAATGTCACGATACATCATGTGACGGCAATGTGACGATGCGAGTTTGACACGGGTGTTCTAAACAATTTCAAAATGCTCTCCCTCCCTTCTTTTCTTCGCTTGGCAAAGCAGCTGGATCATTCTGGAGCTCATCATGTAAATTCTGTAGAGTAGCTGATTATCTGGAATGTAGTTGCAAGTGGGATTAGTTTTGCAGTGGTACATCACCTAGGAATGGGTGAATAGATGAGTATAAGCGCACCAGCATTCCTAGTGTCCCTGTCTTACTGTTCCCATTTATCTGTATTTACTTCCCTCGTTCTTGTTTATGTTCATACCTATACTTCTTTATCTTGCACATGTTTGACAAACAAATAAAATAAAATAAATGAGTGTGTAGTATGTATGTGTACACACACACACACACACACACACGCACTCACATTATAGTTATCCATATCCAGTAATCCATGTATTTACTTGGGTATTATAGGTGTGAAACACAAATTTCCGAAAATTTACTTTATCACATTTGCACATCTTGCAGATAGTCAGCATTGGCTTCAAGCTTTCACTTGGATTTGCTGCCACCTAATGTATGGAATGGATCTCAGATTGTGGCTTTGTTTACTTGTTTAATTAACCATGACTTATATCTGCTCTTTGCTTGTTGAGCTGATTATCATGAGGTTTGGCAAGTTGCCTTCTCACACGCACACAACAGCATTTACTTTAGTATTTTTAAAATACGCGCACAAGAAATATTTAATTTCTTGAATATAACATGTCAACAACATTGATATTTGAGAAAGTAAGAAGGTATTTTGTCTCCAAAACTGTTAGTTCTCTTTGTTGAAAGTGATTTGCCTTCTATTTGAAGCTTAGGATTTACATACAATCTGAAATTCGAAAATGCTTTTAAAAATCGATTTCAGGGATGCATGGATGAATGTTTCAATGTTGATTAAGGAAATAGACAATGCATCCTTACATTATTTATTTATTAAATGTATACGCCACCCATGATGTGAAACAGCAATAAAACAATTAGAACATTAAAGCATTAAAAGTATCTATATGCACAAATATGTAGTCTATAAATCTCTTCATTGAGTTCATAATTAGTAATCTAGATAGAAAGGCAGAGGGGAATGTAAGTAAGATGTATAGTCTCCAAAGCCTCTTTATTTTCAGTATAGGTAATTGGAGCCCCTCTTTCATTCTTCTATTGAATTTCTTAATTTTGTTGGCTACATCACAATCCTTGCTTTTCTTGTTGATTCTTGCAAACAAATTTGTCCTCAGGGACTTGCAGAAGAAACATACCTATCAATTCATTTTAGATCTAGGTTAATTCTTTTGTACAATTCCACTACTTGGTAAGATAACACAAACAGACATGGAAGGAAGTATGAATTGCAAGATGGTTGAAACGAAATAACTTTTGTGTGTGTTGATGTTGCTTTGGTTTTCTGTAAGAGGAACAGATACACACCCAGGCATACCCATTTCTGATGTGACAATGTGCTTTTTCTTTTAAAACGAGTGAGGTGGGATAAGTATGCTATGTTTGTTCAAGAAAGAATTTCTTAAATGCTATTGCCGGAATCTTGACAAATGAATCCTTTGCTGAATAATGTGCAAATCCTCATTTTGACTCTTTATGCTCCTTAAACCTGATCTATGCTAGACATGTCAAAAACAGCTCATGTGCTGCAGGTTGTGGCAAGATGTAATCAGTGAAAGGAAGAGTGATAAGATTATCATCTTTGCATTTGACAGAAAAGATCATTTGTCTTTTGAATGCAAGTAGGGAAAAAGTGTGTAAAAATTACATTTCTTAATAATAAATTTTGTTAAGTTTTCAAATTTTAAAAACATAAAATAAAACTTTATACATTGTTATCAACATCAAGACATCTTTTGCATCTCCTCACATTTTTCAGTAAATGTATCTACTTATTCCTTTACCATTACATCTTACTCTTGCTATAAATTAATATCTTTTATCCTCACATATCAATCTTCCCCATGATATATTTACATATTTACATATTCCCTCATTCTTTTCCTAATTGCCATTTTATTTTCTTTTTATTTCTAAACCACTCATACCAGGCATCCCAGGCCCTATAACAAACTGAATCTTCTCTGTCTTTTATTTTCATCTTTAGCCTGTCCATCTCTATACAATCTGTTATTTTTTTTTATAACCATGCCTTAAAAAAATAAATTTCACTGATGGAGGCATTTTGTTAATATTTTTTACCTTTGCTTATGAACAATTTTTATTTAACTTTCCACAACAAAATATTGCTCCAACTTAGCAAGTAGTAGAATGGAAAATCAAATATTATATTTCTGTTTTGAGGTGGGTTTATTTTGCAATAGTGTATTTTGCTGTTTTCTTCCACACTTCTATGATACCTCCTTCCAAGTCCTTTTAATCACAAAGATGAAATTCATATAGAACTAGTTACAGTATATATATATTTTTTCTTTGACTGGCTCTGTACTCTCTTGCAGATGGATAGATAATTATAATTGAAAGGAGCTGACCATTTACTGGCTGGACGCCCTTCCTAACACCTATGCAGAGCTAACAGCAGATATTCTCTCTTTGTGCCTAGTGAGAGAAATATCTGCTGCTATCTAGCATTGAATCACTTTTTGATTGTGAGGCAAGAGTTCCACCTCTAGCTCACCTTCATTTATAAATAATTCACTGATTATTCAGAAATGTTTAGCTGCCCAAAACTCTTTTTCTTGGCTTCCTGAGTAAGTCTATATGTCTATGATCCTGCCATCTGAATTTCCATTTTTCTACTGTAAATCAGAGTGATATTTATCTGTGAAAAGTGAAAGAAAAAAAAGTCAAATAGAATTGATATAGAATAGAATTAAAACACTCCCCCCCCCACAGTAGGAATAAATGATAAAACAAATCACCTGTTTTCATTTTTTTTATTTATACCATTAATTAGGTACAGGTAATCCTTGTTTAGTGTCTACAGTTGGGACAAGCAACTTGGTTGTTTAGCAAAGAGATTGCTCAATGAAATCAAACCTATGCATATGATGTTACTTCAACTTTTCTTTGCTTAACTGACCTGTGAAGGTCACAAATGCGAGGTTGGTTATAAAGTTACTTTTTCGTTACTGTCATAATTGTGAATGGTCTTTAAATGAGGCAGTTGCCAAATGAGGACTGCCTGTATAGCCCTTTTAACCCTAGTTGAAGGCTAGAGCTGTTATAAGCTTCAAAATATATTTACAAACCTCTTGCAGCAGAGGTGGTGTTCAGCAGGTTGTGACCAGTTCTGGAGAACCAGTAGCGGAAATGTTGAGTAGTTCGGAGTACTTGAAAATACCACCTCTGACTGGCCCCGCCCGCATCTATTTTCTGCCTCCCGAGTCCCAGTTGATCAGCTGGGTCTTCTTTTGTTGCCCTGCACAGGAGAACGGAACTGGAAATCAGGTTAGTGGGGTGGGGAGGGAATGGGGATTTTGCAGTATCCTTCCCCTGCCATGCCCACCAAGCCAAACCCACAGAACCGGTAGTTAAAAAAATTGAACCCCACCACTGTGTTGCAGGAAATATGGACAAAGTACTTCTATCATAGTGGTAGAGGTTCTCTGTATTTTTTGGCTATTAAAAATTAAAAGTAGAAATAAGAATACCATGATTTCTATTTGCAGTGGAATAAAGATAGTTTGTGCTGCTTTTAATAATATAGGTGCCACTGGTCATTATATAACACATTTGTGTGTTATCTCTTGGAGCGACTGTCTTAAATCATTAGTATATATGTTTCGAGCTAGACCACAAATATCTATGGAGGTGTTAATAAACAAAATACTTGTGGCATTCTTCTGAAGTTCAGTAAATGGAAAGTAATATTGCTAGGACAACATAGTACAAGAAACAAAGAGCTGAAGTCCAGAGTGCCCTTGTGGGGATTGTCTAAGCAATGTTTCAAATAAATAATTGGTCTCATTACAGGCCAACATAATACATATGACTTCATATTACTGGAAGCTCGTGAAATATGTTTTTGATGCATGGTGTATATTCTGATGCATACTGTTTAGAAAGAAAACTTGTCCCCAAAAGGAAATTGGGAACATTTCACCATCCTTAACATTTCTGCAAAAACAGGAAGCAAATTCACATCTATGGAACTCACAAGATAAGAGCTGATTGTAATATGCTTTTGAGAGCAAATGACACTACAAGAACAAATTTAAATTGTCTTCCTAGCCTCTGATCCTGCTATTATTTGCTTGGAAGTACTTCCAGTTCAGCCGATGGAGATACCAATGCAAGCCAAAAAGGCAACTTGCCAAATTGGTTTTTAAAAACCAATTATGAATGTGAAATGTATGCTCCAGAAGTAAAAATTCATGCCCTTTAATTATTACTGCAAATGAATAACTGGGAATGAATAATCATATAGCAAGTGTCTTTTTGGCTATAGTACACTTTTCAAATTAAAAAAACAACACATAGAGACAAGAAGTCTTTAGTGTTTCTTTTAAAGACATTTGCTGTGCTCTTTTTTTTGTGATTTATATTCTATGATACTTTCCGAGGAACTTTATGTTCAAAAAACATTTTTTGATTAGCTACAAGAGTTTTTGATGCAAATAGATACCTATTGAGAGGTTCTGAAAGAAACATGTAAAATATCTAGTTCATAATGCAATTATATTGAATATTCTCTGCATCAGAAGGTAGCATTTCTCAAGTAGTGTATTTACTGAAATATTTATTGAAAGGGAGTCTAACTTGTTCTCCTATTCCCACAATAATTTTCCTTTAAAAATGAAGCTAAAAGCCCTTTTAGACGTGCAAAGAATGAAATAAAATTAAGGAGGCAAGTCTCCTTAGATTTCTTGAAAATAAGAAGCCAAATGACTTTTCCCCCTATTTGACCTTCATTTTGAAAGAGGGAACATAATAAATCTTTCTTTTAATATTTCTAGTAGATTGTCTTTTCTCAGTTTCTTTCCACTTTGGTGCAATCTATGGAAGTTTTGCAAAATTTACAAAAGTATTGCTTTGTATATGATAGTAGAATTTTCAACACTAACTGGGGGCATGTTTTATACAGTTTGACTATGAGTTTACATCCCGCTACTAAAATGGAAGCTCATCCAGTTAGTATAATGGCTATTTTCAGGACACTGAACAAATCTGAAGGAGACCAAACAGCCAAGAGATTCTTTAGCTTTGTGAGAAAGTCTTGGCTTAATGGTAACTTCACAGCTCCAACTGTGGAGTATAAAATTGCTCGAAAGTTTGCTCAGCCCCAAAGCACAGCAACTATTGGTGTTGTGGATCGAGGGAAATGAGAGGCTTAGACCAGAGCATACGATTAACTGGCTTTATTCAAAGAATAATGGTTGTCGCGTCTGCCGGCTAACAGGCAGACTTGCCAGCGAACAACGGCTGGCTCGGCCTGACAGCCGGCTTTTATAGCCGGCTGTCAAACGAAGCCAACCAATGGGAGCTGCTGGTGCTCCTGCTTAAAGAACGGACCTGGTTGGGAACCCCAACCAGTCCCAAAGACATAACACCCCTTCCCCCTAGATGGGAACCTGCATAGTCCTTGAGATACGCCGGTGGTCTGTGTTGGCGACCGGAGCGTCGTAGCTCAGGAGAGCCACTGGGTGGCAATGAGTCCGCGGAGCCCTGGTCAGAGGACATTGGAGAGCGAGCTTGACTCGGCGCAGGATCTTGGACCCGGGGAAAGTCCCTGCCTTCGGGCTGGCTTGGAGAACAGTCTCTGCCCGAATGGCCGGTGACCACGCTGGGTGGTAGTGGTGGAGTCTCAGGCTGGCAGTCCCAGTCTACTGCCGGCTCCCTCTGCTCTGTTGGGAATGGCTGGTCCCTTTGGAAACTCTCGACTGGACTCTGGTGGGGAACTTGAAAACTGTCCGGTGGAAACAGCTCTGAGCCTCCTCAGTTGGTCCAGGTACCTCCGCCACACGCGGCCGTCTTCCAGCTGGACCCGATAGGATCTCGGACCTGTGACAGCCACGACCTTCCCCGGCACCCACAGAGGATCCCCCGCGTAGTTCCTAGCAAAGACTAGGTCCTGTAATGCAAAATCTCTGACCAGACTGTCAGACCCCAAAGGGATGTCTGGGCAGTAGTGGGGGTGTAGCCTGTCTAAAGTAGTCCTCAGGCGTCTCCCCATTAACAGTTCGGCCGGGGACTTGTTTGTAGTTGTGCAAGGTGTAGTATGCTGGCTTAGGAGGAAACGAGACAGTTTAGAATGCCAGTCTTCTTGGCCGAACCTGGCCAGTGCCTCCTTAGCTGATCTGACTGCTCTCTCTGCCAACCCGTTGCTAGCAGGGTGAAAGGGGGCCGTGAGGACGTGTCTGATGCCCAGATTGGTGACATACCTGCTAAATTCACTCGAAGTGAACTGGGGGCCATTGTCGGAGACCAGTGTGTCAGGAAGTCCGTGAGTCACGAAAAAACGAGTCAGGGCTTTAGCAACTGCCTGGGTGGTGGTCGTGGGAAGTAAGGCCACATCTATCCACTTAGAATACGAGTCCACGACCACCAAGAAAGTCTTGCCATGCATTGGCCCGGCCAGGTCGATGTGAAGCCGTGACCACGGGGCATTGGCACTTTCCCACTTGGTGGGTGTGGCGGCTGGCGGGGCTGCCCTAGATTCCTGACAGGGTCGACATGAGCTTACCCACTTGGCAATCTGATCGTCCATCCCGGGCCACCAGACGTAACTGCGAGCCAACGCCTTCATCCGTACGATGCCCGGATGGCCCTCGTGCAGCACCTTCAGGATGGGTATGCGAAGGGTGGTTGGGATGACGACTCTGGTACCCCACAACAGGCATCCCTGCAACCTAGAAAGCTCCTGCTGGTGAGTTTTAAATGGGGTGAAATCAACTGAATAGTTAGTTTCCGGCCACCCCCTCCCTACCCAGTCCAGAACCTGGGCGATTGTTTTGTCCTTTTTTGAATGTGCCGCGATGTCGTCTGCAGTCACTGGCAGCTTGAGTTCGTTGACCTCGAAAATAGCATGCACAGGAGCTGGGTCCTCGACTGGGGCCGGCAAGGGACAGCGGCTGAGGGCATCTGCGTGGCTCAGATTCTTTCCGGGACGATAGACCAGTTTGTACAAGTAAGCCGCCAGGAACAAGGTCCATCTAGTCATCCTGGGTGACAATACCTGTGGGGTTTGCTTGTCCCCTGATAACAGTCCTAGAAGCGGCTTGTGATCGGTAATGAGTTCGAAATGGTGCCCGAATAGAAATTCGTGGAATTTTTTGACTGCTGCTACTGCAGCCAGGGCCTCCTTATCAATTTGGCTGTAATTACGTTCAGTCGCTGAGAAAGTTCTTGAAAAGAAGGCAATTGGTGCCTCGGAGCCATTGGGGAGTCTGTGGCTTAAGACAGCTCCTATCCCAAAAGGGGATGCGTCTGCGGCTAGGACCAAGGGAAGGCGTTGGTCAAATTGGATTAAGACAGCCTCAGAGGTGAGTAGAGATTTGACTGCCGTAAATGCATGGTTTTCTTTGGGTCCCCAGTGCCATGGTGTGTTTCTATCTAAGAGTCTGTGCAGCGGTTCAGCGACTGAGGCTTTGTGTGGGAGGAACGAAGCGTAGAAATTCAATA